ACGGTTCGCGATGGATGAATATGTCGGGGTGGGTGAATGATTGCCTACCCTCGGTCTGGTTGGGAAAGAAGACAGGCCATTAAGGGAGGTGTAGGAAGAGGGAGCGGGTGTAGTGTGCAATTAAAGCCCTGCTTTCTTGGCCTTTTCGGCCGCTGACCTTACCTCCTCCCACGTCCACGTGGCAGGCGAGCGGGACACGTGGTAACGCTATTTTTAGGTGAGAAGAATTGTCTGAAGATTCGCGTTGTTGTCATTCGGATATGTTCGTCACGTGGTCCTTGACATTAGGCGGGATCCTCATCGACGTGTCTGTCGAAGGGTGTTCTTGGCGTGATGTGGCGATAACGTCCACGTGGCGCAGGTTAATAGGTGATTATGACCATTGCATGATGGTTATGAGATTGTGCGAGTATTCATGATGGGGATGAGTGTGGAAGTCGATTTTATTTTGTTCCTGTGGCTTTCTTTTGTGTTGTGTCGTCTCTTTGTCTTCTTTTGTTTCTCTTCTTTTTAGAAGTTTGTTGTTTCTGAGACGGAAGTTGGTTGTTTCCCTAATGAGGATGTGAGTTATGGTGGTTGATTCGTGAGTTGGAGTGGAGGTGCGTGATAGTTTTTGTTCGCCGAAAAAATCTTTGCATCGTTATGGAGACTCACGTGGGACTAATTAACGAAGTGTTCATGTGGCTCTCCCTCTTTTGGATGTTTTGTCCTTGTGCAGGTGGTGGAGATGATTGTGAGCGGGATGGAAAAGGAGAAGGGTCTAGAGAGGCGGGCAGATTTCTTTTACCTCCTGGACTCTATTGTGCAGAATTCCAGGACAAAGGGAGGTGAGTTGGTTGTTTTCTGAGACGCGTAACGCTAATTTAATTCTTTGGATAAATGATCCGGACAGCACCCGACCATTTCAGACTTAACGACTTTTCTTCCTTCTGGCTGTTTTTTTTTTTTTTTTTTTTCCGTCGGTGATTGACTGGCTACTGTCGGTGATTGATTGGTTGCCGAAGGTAATTAATGGCTACCGTCGGTGATTGATTGGATCGTGTCTAGATAGATGGTCAAATTTTTTTTTTTTTTTTTCCCGGCCAGCGATGTGATCAGGTGAGGAGAAGGATGTATCTGATGTCGAAGGGGGGGTGCAGACGGGCGGCGGTTCATTGCAGGTCCGCAGCGGACGGGAGGAAGGTTGTTTAAAGAATATGGTGCCGCGAAGTGGATGCGGTTGGGATAAGCCCGAGGGGAAGGGAGTGGGGAGGAGGAGGGAACGGCGCGCAGTGACTCAAATGAGGCGAAAGCTGTTTGAACTGGTGGAAGGGTGTGTATGATGGTGGCACGGGAGGAAAACAGGCGTCAGAACGGAGAGGCGCGCGATTGACCACGGTTCTTATCTTATTTAGACCAAGGAATCAAACATTGAAGGAGTGAACATCTTTTTTACCGTTAGAGGGGGTTGTCAGAGGGAGTAAACAAGGGAATACCGTCATAGGGGGTTGTCAGAGGGAGTAAACAAAGGAAGAGGGAAGAGGGGGCAAGTGTGGGTACACAGTTCGACAGGAAGAGAACAAGCGCCGGAGGGGTAGGAGCGGAGAAAAAGGCGGAAGGGGGGGGGAGGGGGAGTTGGTGAAGACGAGGGGGATTGATTAGTGAACGAGTAGATGTGCAGAGCCAGGCAGCGAGACAGGAGGAGGAAGGAGTAAGCAGAAAACATGAAGACCCGTGTAAGAATTCGGCGGGAAATTGGCTGCGGAAGGCATTATGGCGGGATGGGGCCGTCGTTGCACGGGGATAAGTGACGATAAGTGCGGGTGAGCGACACTGGTGATCCTGAGGATGTGACGATGATAGAGCAAGTGATGCGGGAGGAGTGGGTGGTGACCGGGGCATGGGAGTGGCGGACTCCTAGCAGGGATGGGGAAGGGACAGTTAGCAGGGATGGGCCAGGGAATCTCCAAGAAAGACGTGACGAAGTGGAAAAAAAAGAGGGTGCGTGGTGCCGCCCTGGTTAATGACGAAAAGCTGGTGGCAATGGGTGAGAAACCAGAGGCACATAGTTGGCCTCCGGAGAGGTAAACGAAGGAAGAGGGGAGAAGTGAAGTCTACCAGACAGTTGGTGGCGAGGGGGGAACAAAGGAACCTAAGAGGACAAAATGTATACATGTTTCGTCGAGAGATAAGGATGCCTGTTTTGGTTATAGATGATTATATACCGAGGAAAGGGAGGGGTGAGATCTGAGAGGCGCGCGATTGACCACGTTTCTTATATAGACTAAGGAATCAACATTGAATGATTGAACAGCCTTTTTACCGTCATCGAAAAGACAGAACAATCTTTTATCGTCATCGTTGGACCTCGTGGGGGGGGGGGGGGGGGGGGGGGGGGGGAGGAAAGGGGGGGGGGGGGGGGGGGGGGGGGGGGCGCGCGGCCCAACCAAGATCATGATTACGAGTTGCGTTGGGGTGCGCAGAAAAGGGGAGTGGAGGGGAGGTGGAGTAGATCTATATCTATTATGCCAGTAATCTGGATTGGTTACGTGTTTTTTTTTTTTTTTTTTTTCGTTTGTGTATTTACCGTTGTCTTCTCGTCGTGGGTCAGTCTCTGTAGTCATTTGCCAGGTGATCCGGTTATTACTCTAGAGGTCCTGTCGTTGTCACAATTGACTTGTTGAGCAAGTCAGTGCTGCTGATATTTTCCTTGATGATTATGTAGACCTCATTCGACGGGTGCGGGTCGACAAATAGGAATATTGGAGCGAAGGGATTTATATTTGATTCGTTAAGCGGGCTTGATCTCTCTGTAGTTGGGGATTCAGTGATCCAGTGGATGATCGAGTCGTTGATTGATCGAAAAGTTAATAGGCATAAGCGTTGGTTGATTGGACGCGACATCGAGTTCGTGAACGTTTCAAGCATTGCGATTAGTTAATCCACCATTGTTTGGGGATTGACTAATTGATTGGTTGATTGGTTCGTTGCCAAACGAAGGCGCCGAAGGCGTCGTTTGAGTCTCTGTTATAGTACGATGGGGACAAGCATTGATTGATTGGGCTCAGCAATCAAGTGTATGGAAGTTTGAAGCATTTGATTAGTCAATCTACTAGTAATTAAGAGGTCAATCCACTAGTAATTAAGAGGTCAATCCACTAGTAATTTAGAGGTGATGGGAATGGATTTCAGGGATTATGATAGGTAGGTCCAATTCGGTCGCACGAACGAACCCAGGCACATTTCAGTCAATCAGGCAACATGCTTGGTAAAGCAGGGGCAAATTATGGATTCCAATCAATCGTGCCGTAAACCCCAGTCAATCTGTGACGATTGGTGAACCTGTCGGAATTTGTGATGACAATTGTTTGGACACCATGGAGCAAGCAATCCGTTTTCAATTTTGTTTTTCGCTTGGACCGTATTTCGATTTACGTGCCGATTTTTTTCTCTATATACTGAACGGGGCGTAGTTCAATGTTTACTTTTCTGCCGTTGTGTGCTTCTGCACTTCCATGAGGAAACGTACAAAAAAACGAATTGAAAAGAAGAGCAAGAATGCTAATATCGATTTCACTCTTGTAGGCTTTCTCGTTAGTCGGCAGAAGTTTTCTTAAGTCGTGACCGACTGCCTGCTTCAAGGGATGATGATGTCGTAAGCTCAAATCCTCCCGCCCCAGTGGGATGGTCGGGAAGTCGGTGTCTATTGATTTGGCGACGGGTAATTGGGAGGGGTCAGCGACGGGTGATTGGGAGGGGTCAATGGAGGAATGAATGCGTTGTCAGTAGTCCGGAGCTTTGGCTGGGTGGTAGGGTGGATTCTGGTTCGGTTGTCGTCAACGTTGGAGGCTCAAATCCTACTTCCTTCAATCGGCCAAGCTTCTACCAATGTCCTTCGTATGGAGAGAAGTTCTAGCTAATTGTTGTCCCGCATATAACTACCGTCTTCCCCCGAACATAACGCACCCTAAAAATGAATGTATACAAGCTATATGTCCGGCCAGATACAGCCAAAATAATAGTGCCTTGTGTTCGGGGGAAGACGGTAGTCTGAGGGCAGACTCACTAGTCTGAGGGCAGACTCACACCGGCACTCTCCAAAATCAATCCGACTCCAATTACGTTTCAGACGTGGATGCATGTGACCGTAATCATGTCTAGAGCTGAATAGAAAAGGTCCTAGTGTGAGAGTGTGCCTAGTGTTTTTCCGCGCAAAGAACGGATAATGTCTTGGAGCGATATAGTAGGAACACTGGGGAGTCCATTATTTCAATTGATATGGAATTTGTTAACAGACGTCCATCTGGATGGAGGTAGATACGAGTTGTCTAATCGCTGTGTGTACCAAAAAGTAACTGGGCGGGGAAGCAGGGGGGCCCTCTGCTTTTCTATGTCGTTCCAAATTTTCCCCTTTGTTTTGTTTCTGTTTATAGCATTTGGACCGGTTTCCGGTATTTGTGCGTGTCAATCCTTTTCGCAGGGGCCGTGCTAATCTTGTGTGTGTCCAGTTTTTAGTGACGTTCGAAACGACTCCTCTCTTTCAGCACACAGCGTCTTGCCGTGGGCAGAAGCCAGCAGAACAACTGCAGAAAGGAAGCAGCAATGGCCATGCTAATGTTCTTCACTGTTTACGTTCCTGACGTCTCTCTTCTTCGGTCTACCCGTCATCTCCTCTTTGCTCCCTACCGGTCGTCTCTCTCTCTTTGCTCCCTACCGGTCGTCTCTCTCTCGGAAACCAGTCTTTCCTGCCCCCCCTTTCTCCCGTGTGCTCTGTCTTTTGCCACAGCCGTTGTTTGCCGTGTGCTTGCTGCGTTCTCTGTTTTCCCGTTTCCCTTCTCCTTCGCTGCAATGTGGGACTTGAACCTACAACGACATACAACAGTTCCAGAGAAAATATTAGCTAGTGGCTCAGCTAATGCGTTGAAGTACCAATTGAACCTACTCTACTATAAAAAAGTATATAGCACATAGGTTCGAATCCTGTCACTCCGTGCAGGCGCCTCAATCCGGCCTTCTGTCATACTTCCCAATTTTCTGTCATACTTCCCAATTCATTCATCATTGCGTCTCGCCTTCCTTCTCTCTTGCCTTTCCCCGCCTCTTACTTATTACTGCCTCAGCAAGGAAGGTGCGATGAACTGGCTGTCTTCTTTGTGTGGTAGCTCGCCTTCCTTCTCTGTCTTTCCCTGCCTCTTACTGATTACCGCCTTAGCGGGGAAGTCCGCCGGCTTCATCTACCGGCTGTCTTCTGTGCGTGGTACCTCCTCTTGGTTCCCGCCCCCCCCCCCTTTCTCGTCGTCCATCTGCGGCCGTGAACTCTTTAAGCCTATTCTCCTCCCAGCCCATCTGCGTCGTCGCTGCCCATTGCGTTCTCCTTAATTCTCTTTATCCTTGCTCCCCTTGTCCTTGCGCACGGTGTCCATGGTCACTGTGGGGTTGCCCGTGTTGTCTTCCGTCCTCACTCACTCCCATTTTCTTTCGCTTAATGGGACTGCATGCCCTCCTTTCCTCGCCCAGGTCGTCTATGGACGTCCTTCTCCCTCTCCGTCATGTTCCACTTCTGGCAGCTTCGCCCGTGTTTTCGCCTTCTTCCCATCTTGTTCCTGTCCGGCCCATCTTCTTCTCCAATGCCCTCTTTTCCCTCCGTGCCCTGTGGTCGTGTTCCCCTCCGTGCCCTGTTGTCCTCCTCGCATCCCCAGCCGTCGCTCTCGTTCTCGGCCGTTCTTTGTTGTATTCCGTACAGCCTTCCTTTCCAACCCCCCCCCTTGTAAATCCCGTCTTCGTCTTGCTGGCCGTACTGTCTCGTCTCTGCTGATCTCTATGTTATACCGCTGTTCCGATGATGTCC